GCAGCCAAAGATAGGTGGGAAGAGAAGCAAAGAAGGGCGGGAGCCTTTAAAGTGGGAAGAGGAGCAGCATTGTTCTGGGAGGGGAATAGTGAACTTTACTGTAAACAGTGTTAGAAGCTTCTCTCCAGTGTGCTGCACAGGAAAACCATTCACATTTATTATTGCTCAGAAAGGTTGACTTACACTGAACAACATTTGTTTTTAGCTTTTAGCATAGGAAAAAGAAAGCAGTAGCAGTTCAGTAGATGGAGAGAGCAGTCAGACCAGAGCCAGCCTTTGGTCTGTACTAGAGCAGTCTGTTTTGGAGGCTAGATTTTTTTTTTTTTTTAGCAGTTTTCTTCCAAGGGAATAGCCCTGTAAGATTTGCTACTCCTGTAGGGAGTAGTTGTGTAGTAGGGGTTGCTGCAGTTGGGAGGAGGGATGGAGGCAACTGTTTTAGGTGGGGGAGATGGTTGGTGCTGGTGTGCTCTGTTACCAGATATGATAGGTAAAATTTCATGTCTGGATGATGATTTAAATTTCCTCCAGCTGTGAATCAGGATTTTAGCCTTGATCCTTCATTACTGATCAAAGCTAGCAAGCACTCTCAGCAGCAGTGAAGCTGTAGCAAAGGTTTTAAATGGAGGTCAGCAGAGCAGAGCTCATTCAGGGGATGTATTTTCCATGGGCTTCCATGTACAGGCAGAATCCACCACAAATTGAAACACACCTGCATACTACTTTCCTCTGGCATATTTTAACGATACACATAGTCAAGTACTTAGATGGGTAACTAGCGTAATTTCTGTAATCCATTTCTTAAAGTGTCACCTTTTTTTTTTTTTTTTTTTAATTGTGAGCACATCTTTGCATGTACTTCCATTGAAGGGAAAATTTGTTCTCCCTTGTAGTTTTTAACAACTGAAAAAAATAAATAGAAGGCAACTTAAACTTGCAGATTGCTTCAGGTGAACCTGCATTTCTATAAAGTGCTGATGCTTACTTCCAAAATGTATATTCATTTTTGATTATCAGCTGTTCTGAAAATGTCTGCTTCATATAGTATCACTAACAGTAATCAGCTATAATAATGTGAACACATGTTTTTGTCTTTAGCACAGAATAAATCAAAAGACTTGCAAAGTTAGTAGGTCAAATCACTTATGAGTGGTAACGTTCTAAAAGAAAGAGCCGCAATCATTCTCTGTCCAAACTTCCATTCATATCATCTTAAATTGAGACTTTGCTTTTAACTGATGGGATATGTGCTTAAAGTGCTACACAGGCACTTAAAGGTGAACATGCACATGTACCCCCAGACAAACACATGTAAAAAAAAAAAAGAAGGTAAATAAATGTAGGTTAAAGAGCATGCCATTTTGGGAATCCTAAAAGGCTTAAGTATCGGTTCTTCAAAAGGTGTATGTAATGCTACCTGCTACAGCCCATGGGTTGGGTACAGGCCCCCCAAGAGTTCTCTTAAGAGTCTCTTGCAACCTTTTGCAAAAATTTCACACTCTTCGTTACATCCCAATTAGTGTAAAAGCTCATTAGAATAATAAAGAGAAGAACTTGTCATCCCTGGCTAGTCTGGGGGCAGGAGCTCATCATGAGAGATCATGGAAACATTTTGAGCACAAGCCTGATTTTTGAACACGTACACATAGATATGGTTTAGAAACTTACTCAAGCCACATCATTGCCCAGAGGGGTTAGTGGAAAATGAGAACTGAAGGTTGCCTGGTAATTTAGAGGGTTTTTTTTTCTCCCGTGTAGAAGTTTGCTGGCAGTGTGAAAAACTGGAGTGCATAGTGAAACAAAGTATTTGCAAGCATCCCTCAGATAAAAGCCACAAAGTTACTTCAAAGGTATTAGTGCATCTTTTTATTTGCTTTTCGTGCACATTCATATGCATGACGTTGTGTTTGGAAGACTGTCCATGACAGAGAAATTCCAGAATGCTTGCATGAATAAATATGAACAAATGTTCATCAGATGTTCATACCACAAGTGGCTTGCTCAGTTCTCTTAACCGCTTTTCAAAGCTTGTCCATTCGGAGAAGACAAAACATAAAATTAATTTGAGGATTTACTTTTTGTTAATAAATGCCTAGGTAACGTTTGCAAGGGTTCTTTTCAGACATATACATTCTAAAAATATATTAATGGGATATGGTTATAGAAATATTATAAGTAGAAAATACATTAAATTTCATTTAAGTTCATGAATAAAAGAGCCTGGTTTCTATTGGTAGTTCACACCTGTGTTGGACCACAAGTAGATGTGAATATTTAAAGTTAACTTGAGCATATTGGGTGCCTCAGAAATCTGCCGTATTTTAGGTAGAGGGGATCCAATAATCTTTTTTTTTTTTTTTTTTTTTTTCCCCCTGTATTGTGGCTTGGGTTTTTTTGGTTTTTTTTGTAATCCTTCTGAGGTAGATAAACAGCCATGAAAGTTACCTCCAGAAAGAACTATTATATTATAAGTTTAGGTGGTGCTAAACCTATAGATATTGTGTAAATCTTAACTGCTGCATTTTCTATAGAAGGGTGGATGGTATCAAACCCACTGAAATTAATTAGGGGCCTTTCTAGTGATTTACATCTACTTTAGTTTGGGCTGCATGTATCTTACTGACGAAACATCTCGTTTTTCTCAGTGTGTTGTATACTTGGCTCCTTGTGTCTCTTCCCATCTGAATAGATACATTTCTGAGGCTGCAGTGCTGTCAGCCAGGATATGCTTGCCACCAGGCTTGCATGAAAATCCACTGACTTCTACTAAGCTAAGGGGACGTCAGCATAAATATGCATGTATCAAACTAATCCACAGTGTATTTGGAAAAGCTGTGACACATGAGTTCTTGGATAAAAGCAAGATCCCATGTGTGATTATTCAGGAAAAATATTGTGGGTGAATAAAAGGTTTTGGTACTCCCATGAAACTTACTACTTATTTAGAAATCTACATCAGCCATCACATTTTTTTCTTCTTCATTGCTCTCATATACTGAAAATAAATATGTATGGTTTTAATTGTTACTATTTTTACGTGATTGAAATAATTAGCATACAATAAATAAGAATATTAATTATTATTAATAATAAATTGATGGGTTAATATGTTTTTCTTGTTTGTGAGCCTTCAGTTTCTGAGATGGCATCATCTGTAAGAGCACAAAATAGTAAGTGTCACTTCAGAAAGGTGAGCTGGTTTCTCAGTGGGCATAGAGGAGAACAGAGACGGCTCTATGGCTTGATTTCAGCTCCCTGAAAGCCTGGGGAACTGTGGATTTTATATGGCTGGAGCTCTGCAGAACAGAGCTTTGTCTTGATAACTCAAAATGACTAGATCATGCCTGGTAGCTGGTCCTGGAAACCTGACCCTTGTCACAGGCTGACTACATCAATTTGCAGTAGATTGATGATGTATAGACTGTGGGTGCCCCAGGGGAGGCCCAAGAAACATTGTATTGTTAATCCATACCCCTCATTAGCTTCTGCTGTGCTGGATTTCAACTAGCTGGCAGGGCTAGAGGAGTTGGAGGAAGAATGTGGCGTTGTCTGGCGTTGTTATTCTTAGTTGCCTTTTGAATGAAAGGATGTTTTAAAATACCTTTTCTCCAAAGTTTAATACATCAAAACTGGATTCTTTATTTTCCCCTCCACCCTTCTTGTCAAGTGCCTGGAATTCCTAGATTTTCTTTGTATATTGATTTAGCGCTCTCCTCTTGACAGCCCAAGCTTTATCTCTTCCCGATAACAGTCTCTCTCTATCCTTTCCCGAGCAGTGGCAGGCATATTATATACGCTGTAATCAATTTACATTTCACTACCATTTGTCAGCTCTTGCGCTGTTGATGGAGGCTGTAGCCCTGCCTTCACAGTTTCTTTATGTTTCTTTGAGACGTGTTGCTTAACCATTTCTTCTCAGTGCAGTGCAAGGTTTTGATTTGAAGGAGGCTGTAGTTTTAAACGTGGTTTCTATCAAACAGTAACATCTTTGTCAAACTTCAACAGAATTAACCTTAACTGCCAAGGAAGTTTTGACTGCCATCATAAAAATGTTTGATTAGTGTTAATAATTTATTAAATTGGTTTGTCCTGACACTGCCAACATGTTGGAAATCTCTCAACCATTAAAACATTAACAGAGGCTGTAATACAATGCTCCTTCTGTTCCATGTTTTATTTCAAGACCACATTCTTACGAGCCTGGTTCTGTGGTGTTCCAATATGCTCTCATTAGGACTGCATTAAAAGATGAAATATGACAAATATTAAAATGCGTGGGAATATGGAGCAGAGCATGGCGGGTGTAGTTTTGTGGGCAGCTCTGCTGTGATTAAATTTTTGAAAAGCAAACCTGTTTTTGTAATATGGGGAAATAAAATTACTAGGCGAGTATTTAACTGAAACAGGCCCAATATGTTTGATTGCTTCATCCAAACTCTTAAAATACATAAGCTTAGTTAGAATTTCTACTAAGATGTGAAAGCTGATATTGGGCCTGCTTATGCTGAAGCATGCCATTCAATTATATAATAAACAAAGTCCAATTTGAGAAAAGTATTAACACCTTGAGAGTAGACTGATCAAATTTTTATTTGATCATTTACATCTGCACTTGAATTGCCGGTGGTAGGAGCTCTCTTCTACCAGAAACACCTGTTTTGGCTCCTGCAGACTCAAGAATTTCATGTAATGTATTCCGTATAAAAGGCCATTTAAACAATAACAAGAGTTTGGTTTATCTTCCAACTGGATGGAAGACACTTGAAGTGGAGACTCCGTTTATCCTTTGCCATTTGCTGATAATACCAGTGAAATTAAATAAGCGATTGTGTGTTTGCTTTCCTCTATTTAGTACTCATGTAGGAGCTCCAACACTGTCACAAATGTGTAGACTGAGGTTGCAGGCTGCATCAGTGAAGCACAGAGGTGTTGACAACCAAAAGCAAAACTTTCCTTTTCCATCCCAGTCATGAATATATATTGAGAAAAGTTTCAGTACCTACCTTTGAAATTTAATCCAAGACTTTTGAACTTCGGGAATGAATTATTCCATAATTATTCATAACAGCTGGCCTGGCCCCCTGTCAACTCTTCTCTTTTTAGTACCTGAAAAAATGTGATGGGTACGTTAGTGAAAGATGTATTCTATTCTGTGAGAGGATGTAATTTAAGATAGTCATACCTGTATGTCCTAAACTCCTCGTGTTTTCAAATTAAGAGAACATCATTTGGGCAGGCTACGCTTAGTTTCTGTATTTTATCAGGTACTCAGCTGCATGGAGTACAAATCTGAAATCATTGACTTAAGGTCAGAGGACTGATTTACAGTGAGGTCAATGAGAGTACAACTTGGCCTTTCTTCCATTTAGTCTCCATTGATTTCTCCTTTTTGATATGTGCAGGACAATTTTATGGAAATCATTACAACAGGTTAGCCTTTTGCAGTTCTCTAAACTTCAGAAAGTTGTTCTTAATAAACTAACAGCACTGAAAATCCTGATTTGTTTTAGTATGTACTGTGCCTGGTAAGATGTTGGCAAGACCTGTGTAGCAACAGTATATTAATACATAGAAAATAATCAGTTGTTTCAACATCAGAAAGTAATTATACATCAGTTCAATTCATTCCCAAAATATATGTCAAATACATGAGCATTCGAGGAACAGACTGAGTATAAACATTAAAATTTTATCTCTGGAACTGCCAGCAATAGTTACTCTTGTTTTTTAATATTTGCCTTTGCAATTGTTTTATAACTATTTGCTGTGTTAATAATGAAAATTGTTGAACATTCTGAAACCTCAAAACAGTTCTACATTTATTAATTGCAACGGGAAGATAAGCAGAGCAAGTGACTACTGTGTGATGTGAGATATTTTAATATGAATCTTCAAAGTCTTTTTTTTTTTCTGCTCGGGAAAGTCACCAGCAATCAGACTGCTTCCTTGTGGTTTGGGATGTTATTAGGAACATTAGATATTTTGTATCTCGAGATGTTTACCTCAGTTCTTGATGTGGGATAAACTAAGACAAGCACTCTTACTAAGTGTCAAGAAATTTTCATCTCATTAAGAACATCCTCAGCTCCTCCTGATAGTATGCTACATGTAAATTACCTATGAGTCTTCCCAAACTGTAAACCAAAGGTTGTGCATTACCTGCACAGAAAAGTGAGGAATCTCATATTCATAAGTTGGGTTTTTTTCACAGTAAAGAGGGTTGAAAAAATTTTGAATTAACTCCATAAACTAATTATTTTCAGTTCCAATGTTTCCTTTTGAAAAAAACTCCTGACTCAGTGATTTTATAAATGGCATGCAGTTACATACCCTTGAGTGTGGTCTAATGAGGGTTCAGGGTGCCTCTTGGATCATGTTAGAAAATTAAATGGACTTTTTTTCTATTAGCTTTTCAGACTAATTATTCTGTTTTTTTATATGAGAACAATCCTTATAATCCTTATATATATATTTATATATATATATATATATATATATATATATATATATATATATATATATATATATATAAAATCATCTTCAATGGCAGCATTTTTCCTGCCCATAGCTTTGTGCATACTTACAAAAACGCTATCTTTGGGAACAGCTGTTGAAAGATCCCATCATGGTCCTAGTTGTTTAATAACAAATTTGAATACATTTGTATGAACTGAAATTCAATAGAGGAAGAAAATCTGTGCTCAGAACAAAGCTATGTTTTTCATCTCCAATTATTTGTACCCATCTTTTACCCGTATTTCCATCACTGAAGAACAGTACAGTTAATGAATAAATGGACCACAAATACCTCTGACCCACTTCTCTGCTTATGTGCTGTGACTTGATGCTTGAATTGATATCACCTGTTACCTGTATCTCTGGTCTTAATTTGTGTGGATTTTGTGACTTTGTTTACCCTTCTGTTGCACTAGCTAATTCCACTGAAGCTTTCTAAATTAGGTATAAGCAAGACTGCATACTTCACTCTTTTCGCTGCCTTTCACTAATAGCTACAGCATCATATTCTTTTAACACTTTTGATCAGCCACAATACTAACAAAAGGGACTATTGCCCAAATAGTTGATGATTCAAAACAGTGTGTTAGAACACTACTTCCTTATAGTTAACTATCCTCAGCAATGACCTGGAAAATTATAGAGGCTAGCACTCATGTTCTTTGACTAAATCATATAATCTCCAAATCTCTGCAACAGAACAAATCCTGACAGTAATCCTGTATGTAGCTCTGACACAGTTTCCTCTAGAGGAGGTTTCTTCAGTTATTAGATTAATAAATGTGTATTATACAGTTATTGAAATGATTTGTATGACACAGGAGTCCAAGAGTATATCGAATGAAGAAAAAAAAAAGAACATCAACCCCTAGAAATGCAAAGAGAAGATGAAATTTGACTAGCTCCAAATTAGCTGAATTTTTGACTGTCAGTTTGCCTCTTTGTGAAAAATAACGCAAGTCAGAATGATCCAATATGGAAACTGCAATCTTGTATAAGGCAAAATAAGAGGACAAAAAGGATAGGATGGCTCAGGACTGCACATGATGTTATAAATAAATGACAGTGTAGAAAAAAAAAATCAACAAAAATAGCCTAAATTTAATTAATAAATAAGTAATGAAAGTCAATCTTAGAGAAGCACTCATTTCAAAGATAGTTTTGAAAATCATAACAGCAGACAACAAGGAAAGGCAATGACATGTGAAAAAAAGAAAGCCAGGCTGGAGAATTAAGGCATAGGAATGAGACAACACCAAGTATAGATCTTGTTGTTTGTGACTAGGACCTGAGAGCCATACTTAGTGTGCAGTACTTCTTGTTTCTTTTCTAGTGCAATAAGGTTACATATTTCAACCTATTATAAGTCTAGATTCATATCCCTTATCTCTCTAGGTTCGTGTTTTTCTAGACGTGAATTTAACTAACTGCATGACTGGTACAAAGTCATCAGCCAAGGTAGTGCAAATTAATAATATCTGCATAAATCACAGTTCCCTAGCCCCTCAGGAGTTTAACATTTTTAAAAGCAAACGTTGGATGTTTTATTACTCACAAAGCCTTTAAGTTGCTTGGGTCAGTCTTTCGTGTTCCTGTGTTGTCTTTTGTTTTTATAATACCTGTTCTATCTCATTAGCTAATAGGTTTTACATCAACAGCTAGGCAGGAAAAATAGAAATGTAGCTGCTGAGCATTTTCTTATCCATATCCAAGCAAATTATCCAGAGTAGTGTCTGTCTTTTAAACTGTGATCAACTTTTCCTTGTAAATGGAGACAGAAGAAACCAAGGCAGACAAGGGGTCGTAATTTCGTTGTGCTTCTGTATAAAGACTCGTGTCTGACAGTTGGTGTGACACAAACTTGTGTTACATGAATACCTCGTGTCCAGAGTTCAGGAATGAAAGCTGTTCTATGAATAGTCAATATTTAGCTACGATTATTTGTTGCACTGGTATTGCATGGGCATCTTTAACAGGAAATGATGTACTTTGTTCATTTCTAGTAAAGATGTTATCTTTATTAAGAGATCCCTCAGAGCTGCAGTGTACCTGTCCTTTTATATGCAGCTGCTTTTGAAATCTCTGTGGCATTGGCAAACAATTTATGTTGTTGCCTGTTTGTTTTAGTTGTTTGTTTTTGTTGGGGGTTTTTTTGGTTGTTTTTTTAAAGAGACTATACTTTACCACCTTTCCTTCCTCCCCTTTACTCCAACTTGCAAACTGGAAAATCACTTCCTGGTGCCCCAGTTAGAGGAAATTTCTCCAGAGATATAACATCAGGTGATTATTTGCAGGTTGTATTGCTTTACGGCACATTAAACAAAGTATATATTGTGAGAGTGGGTGGAACCTGGCGGCTACCTTCATTCATCTCGACCCCAGTCAGACTTTTATCAAAAAACACTCCAGGAAGGCAAGGCAGGACTTCTCACTCCCATAAGAAACTGCAGAAAACTTTTTATTATTGCTCTAGCAGGAGTCTAATGGAGACTAGATTTTTACTAGTACAGGTGTTGACAGTACTGCATCCTGCATCTTTTCTGGAGCAGCTGATTGCACTAGAGAGCACTTACAGGATTAACCCTGTTATGAACAAGGACGGGGGGGTGTGATTTGTCTTGCTTTTTTATTACAGCATTGTGTTATTTAAAGGAAAATTATGCTTAGTAAGCAGTGGGATTGCAGCCACATCCTCTCTTGATTGAGAGTGAGCCCAAGGACCAGAGCAGGTCCAGCTCATGAATGAAGGATTCTGCAGCTTCTTCTGGTGTCTGGAGTCTGCAGGACTCTGGTGGGTGCCACCAAGTTGCAAAAAGACTCTTCCATGGTGGAAACTTGAAAACAATGTTGTTCTCCTGTACAGAGACTCTGTCCATTAAGTGGAAAGGCCAGCAAACTGCAAACTTTGGAGCACCACAGACATCCTGATCTACACCGATAATGTATTTTAATTAATCCATCGTGTTTCAGAGCACTTCAGAAAAAATATCACACAGTATTTTCTGTGGCAGCCATATTCTCTGAAGGCACAAGTAGGAAGAGAGACTTGCTGCAGAATTATAGGGCAAGTGGAACAAAATGGGATGAAACCTAAGTCTCCTTATCTTTGTGGTGCTTTCAGTAGCACCCCAGCCAAACAACAAATATACAGCTGTTCACATTGGCTTTACTTAACTTGCTTAAAGTTAAGTAAAGCAAGTGCTTAAATGCATTTTTGTATTTAGATGTTGTCACCGCAGGCATGCCATTATAACCCAATTATTAATACTTCTAAAAAAGAAACATGATATTTTACGTATGTGCAAGAGAATTTTCCTCCTCTGGCTACACGTTGAAAAGTGGGTGGGGGGTGGGAAAAGCATTAACAGGGTGGGGGTGGAAAAATGTATTTTAACAGAAGAAAGAGTATGTACAGTTATAGTCTCACAGCAAGAAATAAACACTGTAATCATAAACAAATGTAACCTTGAGTACAGAAGACAGTGATTTTATTGTATGGACATATGGTGCTTGGGCGACAATGGAGGATTTGTTCTCTTGCATTAGTCAGGACACAGTGGCAGGCAGGCCCTTTCTGTGGCCATTGCTTC